CCTGGGCCACCTGCTAGCAAGTCCCAGTGCAGCTCAAAGGCAGCACAAGCGTTACCAACAAAGCGTCTGCTTCAAGTCGCCTTGAAACACCACTGCACATGCATTCATGCAAAGCGCCGCGGCCCAGTAATGCACGGGCTGCAGCTCACACACATGCATCCAACAGCAGGTTGTTTTTTTGTTTCTGCGGCTCCCTTTCTGTCACCGTCCTCCTCTGGCTTCAGGATGGAGGTTCTGGCTGCGTCGTCATGGGAGATTGCTCTCTCCATCTGCCTGGCTGTCATTAGCCCATCTCCATCACGCTTTATCAGAGGGGACCTGGGCCACCCCCGCCCTCCTGGACCCTCTTCAGCACTCTGACAACCCCTGCCCCCTTGCTCTATACATAAGCCCGAGATGATAAGTGTTCTCCCTCTTTGTGCGGGCCGGGATAAGACAATGCCACGCAGCACTACAGAACATCATCCATCTCGTAGGTCATCAATCTGGCACACAAAAGATGAAATAGGGCTCGAAATCCCTTCAGCAAAAAGGGGTTTCTCTTTGCTTAGAAGAAGCTCGTCCTCCAGCTCTCTCGCTGCTTTTCACTGCTCGGTTAGTGGCAGCAAATTCTTCTTCTTTCTCTTTAAAACACGACGCCAAACAAGTTACCAGACATCATTTCAACGTCAGTGACAGAAGGACTCAGTAGCAGCAGCCATGCTGCAAAACGGCAGTAAATTCCCCAAAGTGCCTTGAAGTGACACAGTAAGAGGCCTCTGCCAGTCTGACATGGATTTGTTCGGCGGTAAATACAAATTAAAGCCGTGTGTCACATGAATAGCATCATCTAGCTGTTGTTTCTGCTGCTCTGTGCCTAATTAGGTTAGCATTGTCTTCTGACCAGCAGGGGGCTTTCTCTGTCTTTGTTGGCTGCCTGAGCAGCAAAGCGCTCTTCATCGGATTTGTTTACTTTCAGTCATGTCCTTATAACCACAGAACACGCTGACATTCAAAGTCTTCAGGCAAACTGAGCCAACAGGCAGATTTGTGTCCACAGAGAGTGGGTTCTGGGGAACAACAGCTGCTTGTCTTTACTCTGTGCAGGAGAACTTTCCACATCTTCAGCCATGGTGGCGACAGAATGTAGTTTGGGTTCAGGTCAGGCGGTCGCTTCGTTCTAGACGGCAGATGAATAATGAAAAAACTTGTTATGAGGACACAGATGCAGGTAATGTCTTCAAAAGACACGCAAGTGAGGCGGATATGATCTGAGATTTTAGATGAAGTCTGGTGGTTTGAATCATTTTGGGTGATTTGTGTGACTCAGATGAAGCCCGGAGCCGTCCGGTGGGCCTGCGTTACCACGGGACGCCGTCACTGAGCCGAGCTGCAGTGGTCCAGCATGGCGCTGTCATCGTTTCATCAAGGCTGCTTCATTATCTGAGGGTGTACGTCGAATGTGTGGTCGGTGTTATACATGAATAAATGATGATGATGTTACTGACGCAGAATTTTTGGGGATTAAAAGCCTTTTTCCAACATGGATGCTGTGTTTGAGGAGACGCATCGCAGCAGCTTCAGCAACAAAATGTGAGCAAAGCCATTAATCCATTTTAGTGCTGAAGCGCTGGCCAACACATCAGGTGGACCTGTTAATCTGCTGTCCATGTCTGGCCGTGAGGGGCTTCACACACAATCAATATGAGTCCTGAGAATGCTCCAATCACAGGCGAGCTTTGTCACGACCACCAACGCTGTGATCTGTGACAATCTGTGTAAACTTTACTCCAACAAGGTGCACAGTCACTGTGGCAATAAAGCCTGCGGCTAACGAGCAGCAGTATCCTGGACTTCACAGTGATTGAAACGATAAACGAGCTGATTAGAGTTTTATATCGTCGCTGGACTTCAGACTGCAGGCAGATGGCTAACCTCTGCTTCAGTCTTTACCTTACAGTATTAGCTTAAGACATACTGGGGGCTTGTTCTTTTGAAAACCAGCCCAGCAGGGAATCAACCGGACCACCTCAGGTTAATCTCACTACGACCTGAAATGTCCATAAAGGATTAGGCCGCTGTACACCTGCTGCCATTTTTAACGCACAGTGCCGCTCGCGCCTTTGACTGTGACACAATTAAAATCAAAAAGTTAAAGAACAAACCTTTTAAGAGCTGCTTAACCTCGTAGAGATGCATGTGTGCGTACAGCTTAGACCACTGGTTGTTTGTAAAGTCTGCACAGCACGCCGTCAGGAATCCTGTTTGTTTTATGGTGGTTCAATAATTCAAGCATCTCTGTGAAGACATGAAACAGTCCTGATCCTCCACTGTACACCATCAGTTATGTTCACATCATGTATTTCACTGTAAAAACATCTGCAAACGCAAAGTCAGCAGGCAATTCAAACTAAACTATCACTGAACAACACCTGAAGAGAAGATCCTGGCAGCACGGTGAAAACAGCCCTCTCAGTGCCTAGCGGAGTGGGAACCAGTAGGAGGGCCGCTGCTCACCAGCCTGGAATCAGCTGTTCCTTACAGCCGTAGACAGAAAACGCAGTTCGACTCCACCAAGAGCCGCAAAGGCAGGACACAGCGGCACGTCTGTCTGATGTGGGCCTGTTGCCTGGACAAGACACGACGAGACGTGATGTCCGCTTCGAAAACAACCTCGTCGGGCGCCTGGACAGCTCAGCGGGTCGGACGGGCGACCCGTGTACAGGGACTACTGTCCCCGACACAGCGCCTCATTGGCTGCATGTCATTCCCCCACGTTTCTCTGTCACTGTCACTATCAATAAAGGCAGAAAAGGCCAAAAATAAAACTTTAAAAAAAGAAAACAACCTCGTCCAGAGCCACAGAAGACATTGGACAAATATCCTTGCGTGCGTTTTCCCTCACATGACAACTTTCTGGTCTTTACTGCATTTGTTTTCTTCCTGTCTACCGTGAAGTTTTTTGAACAGACCTGCATGAATACAGTTTCCCTCCTTGTTAGCTTCCAGAGCTGGGCTGTGACAGGCAGCCTGGGCTCCCCGTCAGTCCTCCAACAGGGTCTGCAGGCGCCTGGAGCGCTTCCAAGCCAGATGCTTGCGCTCCCTGTTGTGACACTCAAGTCCCACTCACACCAGAAGTGACAGGTCAGCAGCACATGAGGCCATGGAAGCATCCATCCGTCCAGTCCACAGCAGCCACGATGGCCGCTGGCTTCAGAACCAGCTGCTCTTCCAGCACCTCGACTGCTGTGGTCAGATCACCAGGCTGGCTCGGATCAGAAACACCGGTCAACCAACACATTACACATATTCATTTGTTGAGGCCTAACTGACTGAACCGAAGCACCAGATGAAATTTTGTTTGGTGAGAACGTGTGGAGGACACCTGGCCTACAACGTCCCTCTAACGTCGGCTCACACGCTGATGAATGCGACGCTGACCGCTCTCACATGACTGCCATGTGGAAGTGGCTCCAGTGACTCACGGTGAGACGTCAGGGTGTAAATAAAGCAACGAGGTTTCAGTGCCCGGTCTCTCAAACCAGCCAGAAGAAGTGAAGACACCCGTCGACTGCACTCTACCGTCCAGCAGAGGCTTCCAGCGTGACCTGGAGCTGCAGGACTGTGGAACAGACAGCTGAGGGAACACATTGATGGAGACGTCTTTCAGAGGCACTCACAGCTCACGTTTCATCCACTTATCTGACAGTTGTGATAGTACAACCAGTGGCTTGTCGTCAGTTAATGTGGTCTTTGTGCGACCCTTGTGTGACCACGCTGCACTCGGCCTCATCCTTTAAAACCCCGGGAGGTGCCGGCTTTAAGCCTCAGCAGTTTTCCTTAGAGTTTCCCTTGAAGCCATCAGCGTTGACAGGCTGCTACCTGTACCTGAGGAGCACTACCAACATGAAGCCCATTCTCTGTCTGAACAACACACAGACTGTTGGTTTGGTCGAGGCAGCTTGAGGCCAGTTTCTCTGTCTGTTGGAAGACACCAACAACAGCTGAGCAGCGTTGGGCATAGGGCTACATGTTAGGTCTTGAGACCTGTGGGGTCCTGACCCAGTATTTACTGAGCCAGGATACTTCAGTAATGCTGATCCTGTTTACTGGAGGGCACGTAGACACAGAGGCTGTTGTCTTAAATGTGCTTCATAAAAGTTTAGGAAAAAGCAAAACAGCAACTCAGCTATTATTTAGGTTCATATCTGTTTGGATTTGTTTTCATTATTTGTCTATTTTGACATTATTTTGTTGTAAAGAACTTTGTAAATGTGTCTTGGACAGGTGCAGTTAGAATATTAGAAATAATAATAATTATTGTTCTATGTAATGTGTGCTCTGTACACGTATATAATAGTAACAACAACAATAAGAATAAATACATCCCAGGAGGCAGTGGGCTGAAGCTCACCTCTGTCAGAAGGTTTTTATGATGGACAGCAGATTAAGTATTAAAAAAGCCACTTTATTTATAATATTAAGAATTATTGCTATTATTATTGAATTAATAAATATGCTTGCTTGACTATTGTTCATATTCTTATAGATCACAGAATCGTATATGGCATAATAATATTATAATAATAATATTATTCATATGATGATGGTGATGATGATTTTATTCCTTTTTTAAAGCACAAAAACTCGTGTTAACCTCTGTAAAAAAATAACTTTAAAAAAGGTGGAACAGCGGCCATGAAGGACAATTTAAAAAGTAATAATTATATTAATACATGTAATTATTTTAATGACATTTAAATGACAGAGACCAGCGCTACCGCTACGTTACTGTGATCCGTCCTGCCGGTACCGTCGGAACCTGCTCCTGGGCTCCTCCTGAGACCTCTGGCCCACCCCGACTCACAGCTCAGCTTCCTCGCCGGCAAGCCGCGGTTCTCTGCCGCCGCCTTGTGGCCTCCTCGGGCAGCAGCGGCTCCACGGCGGCGCCGCTCTTGTCGCTGCGCGTCTTTTCCGTCCCTCGGCGGCTCCCGTAGACTTTCGCTAAAGTCAGACGTGTATTTGTGCGTCAAGGAGGAAGTTTCGTAGCAAACAGCCGAAACATGAGCAGTGACTCTGGTCGTCGCCTGGTCTCCGCTCGTCGCCGTGTCACAAGTGACTGATGAATCCAGAGCAGGATGTCCGCCGACCTCACGCTACACTTCGACCCCCAGCAGCCGGCCATGGAGCCGGGCGGCCTCTCCATCGACCAGGGCGGAGAGTGGGGTAAGCGGAGCTTCTGGAAACACGGACTGTGGGCAGCTGGGGGGCTTCGGCTAGCTGCTGGAGTTGAATCCACACATATTGGTAATAAAAACAGAGGGCAGGACCCGGAGTTCAGCCGGCGTGCCTTTAAACCCATCCGGTCATCCCTCCGAGTCTGAAGGGTTCGAGTTCCCAGCTAGCCTGTTAGCATCAGCTAGCTGAGATGAAGTGATGATGATGATGTAACCCGCTGAGCCTGGATGCAATGCTCATCACACCGAGCAGCACTATGGCTGGAGCTCTCCCACCATCTGGACCTCAGATGGAGCTAAACATGCGCTAAAGTCCACACGTGTTGGTGCACTTGTTTTGCGGTGGCGCTGAAGTGGTGCTTTGGTTCGTCTTCAGGTCAAAGAGCTTCAGATGTTCAGAAGGCAAACGGCTGCTGATGCTGTAATGGCTCTGATACAACAGCATCATGGTCACAGTAACAGCGCTGGTCTCTGTGGTCTCTGTGGTTCTGTGGTTCTGTGGTTCTGCATCCTCAGTGTCTGAGTGCCGGAGCTCATTGTGAGCAGAGAACAGACAGAAAAATACCTTATTTATCCCAGACCGGCCACCGTCCTGGAGCTCTGCTGTGAAACATGATGTGTGTTTATATGTGTTTATGTGTTTATGTGTGTTTCTTTGGGTTTGTATGTGTGTTTGTAGAGCGCCCTTGAATATCAATATTTCTTTTTATATAAAGGTGGATTAATTTTTTCCCCATTAAACATGAATAATTTCAGCTTATGCTACACTTGATGGTAGTATTATTGACGTTATTAGATATTCTTCTTAATTAATTAAACATAACCAAATGTAGTAATAATAATAATGTTACATGACATCTCCCATGGTTTTGCCCGTGCCTGGGTTTCATGCTGAATTCACTTGGAAGCAGTTATTCGAGCGCCTGTTGTTTTCTGTCACAAATCAACAGAACAGACCTTCAACACGGATCATTTGATCATAGTGGATAAATAACTACATCATCTTTTAGCATTCATAGTGTTAAATTATAATCATTCTGTGTTTAAAAACAAGCCTTACTGGAGCTGTGGACATTTAAAAATCCCACTGGGTAGCAGGAAGAGAGTCACCAGTATCCTGTGCATGAGCCGTGCATAAATGAACAAACAGTCCAAACTAAATGATCACCCAACCAAACCTAAAAGAAAAGAACCGAGATGTGACCAGCTACAGCCTTTCTGCTGCTTAAAGAAGACAAACACAGCGAGAGAGCTACTGGCTAGCTGGTCTGGAATCAGCAGAACAAAACACAGCGTGACTCCACCTGGAAGTGCAAAGACAGGTGAAAACGCATGGTCAGCGACTTCAAGCTGAAGCTTCGTGTCATGTCGTTGATATTTTAAGGCTGATATTTTGATTAGTTTTGCGATTAAGAAAAGGTTTTCAAGTCAAATATCGCTTCAGAATTCTCTGTGTAATAGATTTAAAGCATGATGGAGCACTAGGACATGAGACACCAGCAGACATGTGCCTGTCACTCAGGAAGGATGGCATGAACCTCGTCCATCACCTGACACAACGGTCCAACGTCTGGGTCTGATGTGCTGCATAGCTTAGAGCGAGGCTTTTGGGATGCGTCCGGTCCTACTATGTGTGTGTACTGAACCAAACTAATGGAATTCTGAGAGAACATTTCCCACTAAACTCATTTCTATTAGTTTGTCTCACTTCACATTATGGCCACTTGCATTGCTGCTGGCCAATGCACTGACCTATTTCTGAATAGGTTTTTGTTCTTCTGTGGTTTCTGTTCATCAGTCACTGTGCAGTGGACTGAAAGCAGCTAGCTTCATGTTTCTGTGTTCTGTGCTCCTTCTGTTACGCAGACATAAGCCTGTTTGATGAGCTGGACAACCTGGGAGATGCAGCTGAGCTGCTGGAGGCCCTCGAGAACGCCGGCTATGTGAGTTACTCGTCCTCTCAGTATGCAAATGTGAACCATGAACTGAAACTTGGTTAAATGTGACAGGAAACGGAAACAGCAAGAGATGTGCCTGTTACCAGGAGTGCAGAGCTGAAGATGAAGGTGCATCACTAGCACTCATGTTAGCACAGTACGCTATGCAAAGACGTGATGCAGGAACAGCAGAACCCCATGCACACTGTGTTGAAGCCAGTATGCTGCAGGCAAGAACGGGGATTTCTGCAACAGGTTTTTACAGTAAATGTATTGACTGCTATTGACTTGCTGTTCTGGAGACTGTCTGTCCACCCAGGCAGGTATTTCATGTGTAGGGGAATGAGCCCCTGCTCTTCAGGGTAAACGGAAACTCCTCTAAGACACACTGGCTTGCTGGGTCACAGGGTACCTGTGAAACACCTGTGCTGGCCTGAGTTCACTGATTGTTGGATCCCAGTCAGGCTGCAGCGGGACCATCTGGGCTACTTTCTAAATGTTCTGTCCGTCTGAACAACTCTCCAATTTCATTTTTACAAGCAAGGCTCCAGTCAGGAGAACACGACCTGGGTTAGTGCCACAAGTGTGACAGGAGGTGCAGGAGCTCATAGGAACGGATTCTTTACTTATTTATTGCGTTTTGCGGTCTGTCCAGTGCCCAGGTGTGTCTGTTCCAGCACAGACCTGCTGACCTGCTGCGGTCTGTCTGCGGACAGCCTCCCTGTGAGGGTTTAGGGTTAGGGTTAGAGTAGGGTTAGGGTTAGGGTTAGGGTTAGGCGGAGACTCGTCCCTGTGGCTGTAATCCCGATGCCAGCGCATTGCTGCGGTGCAGCTGACGCGCTCGGTGGGTCCGGTGCTGAGCGCAGACTTACCGTCTGCTCGACAGCAGGGGAGGAGACGTTTCTCCCGCCGTGTGGGCATCTCTCCGCCGGGATGCAGCTTCAGGCGCTCACCGGTAGTCCGGGTCGAGCACCGAGCGGCGAGTAGCGGATGTCTGCTCTCTTGCTGTCGCCCCCTGTGACGACCTGGGCTCTCTGAGTCCCGCATCGCCTCCTTAGACCACTTGCTGCTCCAGGTTAGCTTAGCATGAAGCCACCTGAATGCCACACAGCTGGTTGTAAACACGGAAGTGAGCACCTCCGCGGAGCTGCCAGTCCCCGCCCCCTGGAAAGGAGTGGCTGTGTGACAGTTAACTTGTTCAACTATGGCAACCCACCAGGGACATTTTTGTGTGGATTGTGGCGTTTCCAGGCTTTGAAAGGTGACCATGATAGGAGTGTTTGGTCACCAACGTGCACGATTATGTGGAGGGAGCCCACAGTGTTGGATGGACTGCTTTATGAGGCCTGCATGCAGGCACCAAGCAGAGCTAAGGGTTATGGCTGGTGAAGTTTGACTGGGATTCTTTACCGGTGTAATGTTTGTAGGTTCTTAAGCTCATGCGCTCGGTGCAGTCCCTGCTGAGTGCAGACTTCTCGGTCAGCTCAGCGGCAAGAAACTGGAGCAGAAGTCATCTCAAGGGGGGCAGTGACTCTGTGCTCAGCATGGTCAGGAGACGTGGTGTTCTTTATCAGGACAAAGGTCCAGAGAGTCAGTACATTGTTGACCCGTCTTTTCCTCATGGGCTCATGAGCCCCTCTGGGGTAGGACGCCCTGGCACATTTGTGGCCCAGTCGTCTGCTTTGAACCTTCTGTCCTTTCACGCTTCTCCAGCCCGTCTTTCAAGGATTCACACAAAAGGAGTGAGGCTGATTTTGGTGGCTCCTCTTTGGCCCCACTTGCCATGGTCCCAGCGATGTACTTCTCTCAAATGGGACACCTCAGAAGCTGCAACTTTTTAAAAGACCTGCTGTCCCAGGCTAATGAGAACCTGTTTTATCCCTTGCTGGCTGGCCTCAGATTGGCAGCCTGGTCTCTGAGAGGAACAGGTTCCTGCCCTTAGGCTTGTCAAGATCTGTGGTGAGAACTTCATCACAGGCCGGGGCCCTGCACCACGAGGCCAGATCGACATACCAGCATATCTGTCAGAGGTCCAGCTTGACTAACCCTAACAGCCCACTCAGGGTAACCGGTCCTACGACGGTGGTCATCAACTCGGTAAGTCAACCCAGGGTTGTCTGATCTGAGCGCGTGCACATAAAATGGGCGGAGTTATGGGCCTCTGACCAATCAGGACTACGGACCAGTCTGGCTGCAGAGCGGCTCACTTTACCGCCGAGGAGCAGAACATCATCTGGACCAGATATGAAGAACATAAAACCATGATAGGAGCAGAAAGAGAGCAGAGCAGGAAGGAATGGTGGCAGGAAGCTGCTGCCTGTGTGGACGATCAGCTC